GTATATCTTAGTGTACAATATATCTCATGTATATCAGTGATATCTCATATATATCATGTATATCTATGTATATCCATTGTAAATTTGTGTTATATATACGATATATAATGTGATATACACGGGCGTCCATAAAAAATTTATGCTGTATACACGATATACAAAGTGATATACACGGATGTCCTTACAAACTTGTGTGTGATATAAACTGATGTACACGATATACAACGTGATATACACATGTCGCAGTTGGATTTTTAGGTCTGACTTTTTACCTGAAACCAATCTAAGTCACTTCTAATCTTACTCAAATTTTGTATATAGCCTCGTTTAGGTATTTTCAACCAATTTCAATCATACCCACTCCTTCAATCCAACCAAAAAAAGGAGAAGAAAAACAAAATTGAAATGTATTTTTTCTCTCTTAGTTTTTGCTTCTGATTTTCTCTGATGTGAGATCAACCTTACGTTTTCATCCCACTGATTTTTTTCGCATAATATGCAAGAGTTTTTGCCAAACTATGAGAGCGAAAGAGAAGAGATAGAAGAAGAAATACAAGGAGAGAAGGGGGGAGGAAAGCCAAAATAAGCGTGTAGTTTTTTTGAGAGAGAATATAAAAGAGAGTAGTTTTTTTAGGATTTGGCTATATAATGCCAATTGTTTGGGGCTATCTTTGCCAAACCTAATATAAGGCTAAAAAGAGAAACCTTCAGAAACCACTATGTTTTAGTGGTTATTAGCTAGTTGTAGCTACCATTTACTATATTACTTCCTATAGCTATGTTTTCAGATTTTTTAGAGTATAGCCGATGTATTTAAGCTACTGTATTCATGAATGCAGTAGCATTTCTAGGCGTGAAACATGGGATTACAGCTAGACAGATTTTTGTATTTTGTATTCGAGTGTATTCGACTGTATTCATGGCGTGAAACATGGGATTACAGCTGGACAGATTATTGTATTCGACTGTATTCACGGCGTGAAACAGGGGATTACACTGTTTTTAACGGGAAGTGAATCATTTGACATAATAGACTCCTAATATAACTCAACAAACTCAATTACAACACACAAATTTTATATTTCCAGTTATAAAAAAGATTCTCAACAGAAAAATACCCAAAAAATAGCAATCTTCAGATAAATTATATAATACATCTGAATACATAAATTATATTAATTAAAAAAATACATAATACATTCATGGAATATAGTGAGACAGTGAATACAATGAAATACAATGGGATACATGAAAATACAACGAGATACATTGAAAATACACTTAAAAAAAAGGTAACAGAATCTTCAATTTGCTCAAGGGTAAAACAATCACCCTTGAGGTTGAATCTTCCGACACAATCGACAATGTGAAAGCCAAGATCCAAGATAAGGAAGGGATTCCCCCAGATCAACAGCGTCTGATTTTCGCCGGAAAGCAGCTTGAAGACGGCTGTACCCTAGCCGATTACAACATCCAGAAGGAGTCGACTCTTCATCTCGTGCTCCGTCTCCGTGGTGGTGCTAAGAAGAGGAAGAAGAATCGGAACTGAAGAGGGTTGACGACGGCAAAGGGGTTGGATACACTTTAATATAGTACTTCTTCTTCGACGAGTTTATCTTCTATGGAGAAAGATTGGCGTTGAGAGAGAGGGGGTGGAGAAAAATCTGAAAGAATGAGAGAGAAAAAAAATAAAAAATAATACAAAGAGTATTTTATGGCTTAAAGGTAGGAGGTAACCATAAATAGATATTTGGCTATAAAAATTAAAAGATAGCTATGGAATATAATTTTTTAAAAGGGTATTTATTTAAAATAAATAAGGTATCAACCTTTGCTATAGGAGGTAAAAATTCCGGCTAAAAAATTGCCAATTCCAGTTATGTGTTGTTATAGGATGCCAATTTTTCTTCTAATTTATACCTAATTTGCAAAATTAAACAACTTATCTATTTTGACTAACAATTGACTAATTAAATGCATGAATTATTAAATTAAACTAATTGATTAATCGAGATAACTAATATATTATATATATTTTTGATTTTGTGTTTTAACAAAAAATGCAACTATATGCTGTTAAAAGCTAATGCTGCAATTAAAGTCTAAAAAAGCTACGAAAGTCAAAATATATTGGATGATTTTTATGATTTAAAACTATTCCTAGTGATGCAAAAATAATCTATTGATGCAAAATAAACAAAAAAAATTCCTAAAATTCTACAAAATAATTAAAACTATTTTGGAATATTTTTAGAAGTAATCTATGCAGAGGGTATAAATTACGTGCTTACAGTTATCACTTAATTACATTAGCATATACAATTACCATTTATATACAAGTAATATAATATACTCCAATTTACTCATTTTTCTTCCCTCTTCCTCCTCCCTTCGCGAAGTGAGTAATTGAGGATTATAGCATATGTGGGAATGGTGTGGATTTCATGATTTATTATGTCATAGAAATCAGCAATAGCAGCAGACGCAAAGGAAAAGCAATTGAACGAGGAAATCCGAGTTCCAATTTAATGGATGACAGTCTATTGTATTATTAGTACAATATATGAGTGTAAACTCCACTGATATCCATTAAAAAGTGTTTGAAGCTTTTAATTCGAAAATTGAATTTGGTGAATCGTTATTTATTTGGATTGAAGATATGTTTATATTTCAATTTTGAGCGATTTTGGTGAAGATTCGAGTTGATTTTAGTTGGAGTTTTAGATTAAAACTCGAGAAAGAACACAAACAAATTGTATATATTTTGTATGTCGGGTGTACAAACTGCATACAAAATATATACAACTAATATAATTGTAACAAGTTGTATATAAATTGTATGTAAATTGTAGTTTTTAAACGGATTCTTTACAAAAAAAAAAAATATTTAAGTTGTAGATAAATTGTAAATTTTGACCGAATTTATATATATTTTGTAAAAAAAACTTTAGTTACTTTTCGTAAATAGAAAAACTTAGACAAAATCGGATAAATAAGTTTAAAATCTGATGATCCCTTAGTATTTGTTTGTTAAGGTGATCGCCCAAATTAAACTAGAAATTATGACGATCTTCAAGAACGTGCTTTAAAATTGACACCAAACTATATTTTTCAAATATTCTATTACCGAGATCAAAAAATTAATAGTTAATGATTTTGTCCTAGAGTTTGATCGTACAAATGACTCTTTAAATTTGGAATTTGGGAAAAGAAATTCCAACGTGATAGTGATCCTTTTGTCCACTTTTCTTATTATAGCATTAATGAATTTCCCAACTAACTCAGAGGAATAAAGTGTGGAATTAATGAAATAGTTTCTGGTAACTTGCTGCCAGCCAGGGCTGGCCCAAAAAACTGAGGGCCCCAAAATCTTTAAATAATATTAAATTATGCACTATTGATAGAATTTTTAAATCATTTGATTAAATATTTATAGCTAAAAGTAGAAGTGTGCATAGGTCGTGTTGGTTCAGATTTTCTAATTACCAAACCAAACCAATTGTATTGGGTTATTAAATCTAAAGACTAAACCAAACCAATAAAAATCGTGGTTTTCAATCTCGTGTTTTTCGGATTTTCGGATTTTTTCAGTTTTTTTCATAAAGTCTTCATAGCACAAAATATAGAATTTGTGCTCCAAATATTTCTTTAATCCTAGTAAGATAGAACTATATAAGGTGTTTTTCAATAAAATAACATAAATATGAGATGAGTCATGGCGTTGTACTAAAATATTCAACAATAAAGATAATAAAATCGCATAAAATAAGTATTATTAATAAGCCATAATGAAAACAAATATAATTTAAAATTACTAATAAGTTGCTATAAAAAGTACGACTAATAAGTACTATATTATTTACATGACTAAACACTAAAAGAAAAATAAGTTATGCATTTTATCTAAACCACAGAAAAACTAAAAAATAAATATCCAACACTATTTTCATTCATAGTGCAATTGAATTGAATGTCTTTTATTAGCATTAGTATTAATTTGATATTGATTTAGGATTTATTTGAGTTACTAACATTTATGAACTATAAAACTTATTGGATCATCCAAAAATTATTAGTCCAAGCTTGAAATAATACGTGAAAAGATAAAACTATGCAAAAGCTTAAGAAATATTTATAAACTACACTACAATAAATATTTTATGTATTAAATATATTTAAAACGTCTATACATATAATGTCGGGTTGGTTTTGTTTCGGTTTGACTTTTGTTTAGTTAAAACCAAACCAAACCAAATATGGTCGGCTTTTTTTCCAACACCAAACCATAGTCGGATTTTTTTCCTCGATTTGACTCGGATTATTGGGTTGGTGTGGTTTGCCGGTTTCATTTGTACACCCTAACTAAAAGTTTTACACATCTTAAATTGTAATTACTAGTTGTTTCATGTCTTTAGTTCGTCCTAACTTAAATCAATCTTCTTACAACAATGTAAGTTTAGAACAAATTTTCATAATCTTTGAGTGCCTTTGTAGACATTTTTCAAGCTACATTAATAAGTAACTATTAAAATCCGTCCTTCACATTGAATGAATCTTGAAAATAGTAGTTACTACATTTTTATTTGTTTCAACTTATATTTAGAATTAAAAGTGCTAAGAGAAACTGTATAAGCAGAAGAATACTCTAATTGGCAAACTCAATCAGGTAAAAAGTGTTAATTCAATTACCTTTAACAATTTCTATATCAGTTGTCTCGGTTGAAAAAGTTTTATCAATAAAGTTCAACACGATAACTTAAGAGAGATTAAACAAATTGGTTAGACATTGACAATAATTAAAACTGATTATAACTTCTTTAGATTTCGATAAATTATAAGACTAAAAAAATAATAAAAAAAATTTAAGGCCTCACTTTTTATTTTCGCCTTAGGCCCCATATTATGTCGAGTCGCCCCTGTAGTGCCAGCTTCATTTTACATGCCATGCCAATTCGGGGATATAAACAAACTAAATGTTAGAGAAATGGAATAAAGTTATAGTCATAACAAATGGATTGCGCATTTGTTTATGAAATCTGTAATTTGCATAGTTGTGGTATTCTTATGCCAACTATTTTCTATTTTGTTACTTGACGAGATGGAAGTAACATCACTCAGCAAGGCAAGACAAAGGCATTGCCTGCGACTTCCAATCCAATGACTAGCAAAAGACAGAAGAAATGTTACTATGTCTTACCTCTTTTCGCCCCGTAACTTGACTTCCTCTTTTTTCTACCTGCACAGACGCCTCCACCTATGTCGATTCCAGGTACAGGTACCCTCTTGCTGAGTCTAAGTCATGGCATCAACTGACTCTTATATTTGCTGAAGTGAAATAAATGCACCACACAAACATACATAGACATAGAGAGAACACATGTTTCACATGTCAATTGTTGTAAGAATAAGGGCAAGCTTGTTTCTTAAGACTCGAGTATGAGAAGGAAATTCATATCCAACATAGAGATAACTGAAACAATTTATACTGATGTGGTCGACTTGATGCATCACTAAGGCAAAGTGCAGCCAGATTTCTGAGTACATTTGGTCTGTGAACCGTTCCTTTGCTGAACTTGGAAATCCTTTATGATAACACCATAAAATCCCAAACAAAACTACAGTCTGTTTAATAGATTTTCTCTTGCTTATGTTTCTTCTTCTCTTTCCCCGAGTCCCTCTTCTTTAGTACACTACCACCGCTTAAAACATCTTTAAAAACGAACAATTACATTCTTTACACAAAGGTCCTAAAAGTAGTGCATCAACTTCCTTTCAGCCTTAGCAGGTATATCAAGAGACTACATGGTATCCCTCCATTCTAAATCTTTTTAGGATACTTGTTAATGCATCCAAAAGACTCTCCTACTGAAAAATATATAGAGCCATGAAATATATATAACCAAAGTGGAACAATTGCATTACTGGGTCAGGTGAATTACAAGATTGTACATGCACACCCTCCTTTTGTAGGAGAATCCTCCTTCAGCTTATCTGTGACAAATTATAAAGAAAAATCATTCAGTAGGCTTTAAATTTTAATAAGAAAAAAAAAATGAACGGAATCTCAAATCCTTAAATCATACTATAAAAATAAGTATAACTTATCTTTTTCCTCTCTCTACCTGTCAAAAAATATGACCAGGCAAGACTGGCTCTGCCACTCCAAACACCTCGAAGTTTTCAAAAGGAAAGCTTCACAGATGCGTGAATATGGAACTGACCCCTAATTGGCGACGGTAATTCGAAAGCACTAAACACTAAGCTGAATGAATATACATCCTTTTTCTTCGAACTGACTTTGCCAGGTCAAATCCTCTGGAAGTATTTCAAAAGGAACAAGCTTCACGGACGCTTAATATGGAACTTACCGGATGGTAAGTGGAAAGCACTAAACACTAAGCTGTTCCAATGATGTCCTATCCAATCATATATAGTGTTAACTGACCTCAAATAAGACACTTTTCTGATTTCTCTGAATAATCAGAAAAGGGAAGGAAAAGGATCCCCTGTACCTAGGAGCATGGTAGAGGATGGGTGTGTCGAGGTAGTAAGTTTGGAGAAAGTGCCAAAAGAATAAAATTGGAGTTGTCATCTAGCAGTTAGACAAGCTAAAAGAATTTCACTACTTCCTAAAAAGTTAGTATCTTCTACAGTGCAAAACATTGGAAAGAACAATAAAACAGATTGATCAAAATTGGACACTGACTCGAATATCATCAAAACAAAAATAACAGAAAGAGATATTTCAGAGCTATTCGTCTAATAGGTTTTTACTTACCCCTCCTATTTCATATTTTATTACAAGACAGCTATAGATTCTTACAAGGGAATGTAAAAAAATAGGAGGAACCTAAGAAGTTACACTAACTGATCTTTAATCACGAATGAAAGCCAGTGACATGCTACTTCTGCTGCAGTTATGAACTATTAATAGTTTTTCTTTTGAGTTATCAACACAAGAAAGAAAAATGCTTTCCACCTGTTAACCGGAATTCTTTTAACTCGCATATACTCCAAATATGACATTGCGCATGTAATTTACACTGAACCATGACCTAATTGCTTGAAGTACAAAATACTGCAACTTACCATTGTTTTTGTCATGAATGGGAGGCCGTACAACAACATGCATAGTGATGACACCTCCTGGAACTTCAGCAACGGGAAGTCTGGATTCACCGAGAGTTCTACTATTTTCAAGAATCCTTCCAGCATTAATAAGCTTCACGTCATTTGTTGTCCTTGGACCACTATCTTTATCTGCGCCACAGTAAGATCTTCTGTTAGCTGGGTTATTGCTGGTTAAAAGAGTATCATAATTATGAGCAGCATATGTAGGGTTGCAGATTCAGGCGTCTTGGTATATAAAACATATGAGAGAGCACTGAAAATTTTAGTCTCAAATTAATCTTTTCATTCCTGTAAGTAGTGGGAATCATACATTCTCTTTGGCTTTAGTGCTTCGAAACAAATAATAGGTGGATGTGGTTTAATTCTAATCCATTTTAGAATATTGACTGACAACAAATGCAGATTATATACAAGAAGATTTTGTAAATGCAAATACACATTCATAGTTCTAGAACTAATATTTTGTCATATGTAATATTAGTCCTTCAAGTTGGTTAAGCTCATTTGCTTCGCAAGTGTCTTCGTATTTAGGTTTTTAAGTGTTGCATGCTCTTTTGATTGGCGGGCAGCTTATGTTGTTTCAGGCCTGCGGCAATTCCTTGCTGACCCCTGTTCTAGAGCCTGTGTGAAAGCACACAGAAATATGATATCATCAAAAGTTGACAAGCTCAAGTTTCCAATGAACCGTGACTTTGAATCCAGAAATGATTAGAGTATTTAGGTCGCTTTACCTTTTGAAGTTTTGTAGTGTCTCTTCAATATTCAGTAGTATTATATATATTGGTTGCTCCAGCACTGCTTTGTGAGCTTGTTAACATTCAGTCCCAAACTCGGACAAAAGAAAATGGTTGCGGTAGTTGAGCAATGGAATCAAGTGGGTTCCAAATGGAGCGAAATGGATAGTGCATACTTGGTTTGCAGCATAGTTATTGTTGTTGTTGTTTCCAATCTGTTGCATCACTCTCTCACAATGTAGGCAGCTTCTAAAGCAGCACTACTCTCTTCATATCAGCCATATCAATCCCATAACACCCTCTCATTTGCTATTTCACTTCAAACCTAAACAATCTACTTCGCTAAGTTAAAACGCAACGGTATTTTAGTCTTTGGTCCTCATGCTTATAAGATCCAAAGCCAAATCTGGCATTAAAGCAGGTAGCACCATGTCAACACATGTGTGAAAGCTTATGTGATGAGCAAACAAATTATCAAAGGGATAAATTTCTGTTGCAGTTACTCAACAAGTTTGGAAGTTACATATTAGTGAATTGAGTTGCAAAACTCACAGCAGTCTACTAATTCAACGGTAAATGGAAAAAAGAAGAAATAGAGGCTGGGAAAAGATACTAAGAGCTGAAGAAATCAACTAATTCAACTCAGATAAGAGGCGTCACAGAGAAATAAAATTTAAGTACCTGTACTGTGCAATTTTAGTTGCAACACTCACAGCAGTCAGCTAATTTAACAGTGAACTGAAAAGGAGAAACATAGGGCTGGAAAAGGTAATCAACAGCTGGAGAAACCAACTATCCAACTCAGAATAAGTACTCCAGTTTAGTTGCAACAACTTTAGTTGCAAAAATCACAGCAGTTAACTAATTTAACAGTGAACAAAAAGGGCGAATAGAGCGGGAGAAGATACTCAACAGCTGGAAAAATCAATTAATAAGAAATACTTTCTGATTGAGGATCGACCATGGATAAATATTTTATCCATTTGACATGTCCAATGAGAGAAGGATTCGATATGCTAATCTTAAGCTAACTAGACTTGGAAAGAACTTGTGAAAAGGAATGTATCGAAAAATTTATTTCATGCTAATTGAAGATTTTCAATTTCAGTTATTCAAATGGGGATGCAGTTGTGAAACCCAAGAAGTCCCCTGATAAATCACTAAAACTCCCATTCTCTCTTTTGCCTTCCTTAATCTCCTCTATTTACCTATTTCTAGCAGTTTACAATCAGAAATGTTCGCGTCCTATTTCTTTCCCACACAAATATTCACATCAAACTTCTTTTGCAATAAAGCTTGAGATCTCATTGATTCAGAAGCTATACTCCATCAGCAACTTTGACAAGCTTCTAGAAAACTGATCGCTACTTCTGCCGTGGATCTTTTCTTCTTATATGCATCCTTTAGGGAATGGCAATAGACTATGATAGTCACAAGAAACTACGCTATATATACTCACCACTGAGGCAGAGATCAAAATCTTCTGTAACTAACTAAAAATCTTCTAAAATATGATATATCCATCCATTCTTCTTTCTCTCCTAGAGAACTAATCTTCATCTAGGTTAGTGCGGCTAGTGAGCAGACCTAGGCATCATAGAAAGATCCAAATCGGCAATTCCATGGACGATAAAAGAAATTTCTAATGCGGATTATAGGGTAATTACTTCTGGAATGGTGCATTATTGGTCCAGAAAACTTTCAGACTAATTTCAACAGGCAGGTTGTGGTACCAAAAGGGTGAAAACACAGATTATAGAAAGTGCTCAAATGCAGAACCATGTCCATTACTCAATACCACGCGTTCTTTGTTTACAGACTGTTATGTTATTATGTTTGAAGAAATGAAGAAACTCCAGTTAATGCAACAATACCAGTCATACCACAAATCACAGGAGTTACTGCTTCCATATCTTAAAATAGTATTGCACTAAACGCAATTAAACATCAAAATACGCAACGAACAATCAAATAAAGCAAAAAAAGAAGCAACTCCATAAAAAACACAGGATTAAAACTAATCTAATTCATATAATCAAGTGTAAAGTCAAGAAATCAACAACCTTTGGGCCACTGTGCAATTAACTTTTCTTTGAGAGATCCAACAGTGGTGCTAGATGCATACTTATTTGGTCCAATATCACTGCCATCAGCTAGCCTGAATTTGATCTCAACCAACTCTTCAACAGCCATTGAATAGTCTCTCACAAATTATCAAATCAACTGTACAAACTCTCATCAACTACCACACATACAAACGAATAATTCCCAGCTCAATCAAGAATCAAGGGTTAAAGTTTCCTCACTGAATCAAAAACATAGAAAAAAAATGTCAACAGCAAACCAGATCAAATACACCTAAAACAAGAAATGAACAAAAGACTCAATTCACCTCAACCCTTTACAATTAGATCCAAACGTTTTACACCTTTTTATTCAGACTGACCAAAGTAACAAGAACCCAGATCACAATTTATTAGATTGTGAGAGTAATGAAATTTTCAAAACTATAGTGACCCAAAAAAAAAAAAAAAGATGAAATAGTGAATACCCACATGAGCTGAAAGAATTCTTGTTTCTTTGTTTGTGCTTTAAATTTGCTTGATATAGAAAGAAAGAAAGAGATAAAGAATCTAAAATGGAAAGGGTTATTCCAAGTACGATTATTATAACCTGAATCTAACTGGCAAAATCTAATGATCTGGAAAATGACGCTTCTTACTTTGGGTCGCTTGGACATGCAGTAAATTCACTACAAGACAAGTACACGGAAAACAGGAATATTACAATCACGTCCCTTAAGTTTAATATTTAGCAATTCAACCCCAGACCTCAAATATAAAGTTGAGTAGGATCATACGAACAAAAAAATAAAATCTTACACTCCCTCTCTCACAATTTACATGGAGGTACCGAAGGAAAATATTTTATTATAAAGTTTTGAATGATCTCTACGAATTTTTATTTTCTACACGGATCTCCTCATATAAAATAAACTACCAATACTCTACAATTATAGTACAAAACTTATTTTAACTAAAGACATAAAACTTATTTTTATATAATTTCTATATAGACAGGAATTAAATAAAATAATAAATACCAAATTCTAAACGATTAAAGTTTTCTATATAATTCCTATATAATACAACTTTAAATTAGTTTCCAACAGGTGCTCGAAGTACCAAGGCCAAAAAACTAATTTTGATTTGAATTCAGGTGTAAATTCTTCAAGTTTAAAAAAAAAACTACATGTTGGAAATTACATAAAATCTATACTATATTAAAAGCACGAAGGCCCTATCGAAATGTCGTTCGTCTTTTTTACCCTTCGTAAGTTTATTAAATGTTGGATATAATTGTAATTGTAATAATTATTTTTTTTGGAAAAATAAATAAATTATCGTGTACTTGTTTAGAATTTACACTGTTTGGGATTCTTACCTTACCGGGAGTCTACGCTGTTTATTGTCTCTTTTGTATCAGTTTTGAATTCATCCATTGCCTCTTTGGTGTTGGTTTTAGATTTAATTTTTTATTGCCCTTTTTTTGGATACAAATTTTCTTTATTTATATTTAGAATTGGACCAATTAGATTCATTATACGTTTAAGATTCAGTTGGCAATTAGGTTTTATTGATGTGTCTTTTATTTATTTAGATTTAAGTTTTTTTCTATGTTTAAATATAGGTTCACCAATTTTTTTACGGGAAAACCATGAAACTGTCTTTTTTAAGGTCTATTAAAGTTGTGTTTTTCATTGGGAAAATGCATAAGTACCCCCTTAACCTATACCCGGATTCTCAACTACACACTTTTTCTATGCGGGAATCCTATTACCCCTAAACTTATTTTAAATGGAATTATTTGCACCCTTAACGCTGATGTGACAGAGTGTGTGTATTTTACTCTCCCAAAGAAGAGTGAGAAGCAAGAAAAAACGATTTTCAAATTATTTTTTATTCTTTTTTATCATTTTTTTCTTACTTTTTTTTCCTTTTCCTTTTCCTTTTTCTTTGTCTTTTTTCTTTTACTTTTTTTTCGTTTCTTCTCTAATTTCGGCGGATATTCATTCGCCGGCGACTTTGTCTAACCGTTTTTCTTCCATTTTTTCTTTTCACACATAAATTAAACTCTCAAAAATATCTATTCATAAGCAAAGCAAAATACACTCA